TACCTCACAAAATAAGCAGTAATGTATTAACATTTTTAATCAGACACATGTATATTATCGTGTATTATACCTCACAAAATAAGCAGTAATGTATTAACATTTTTAATCAGACACATGTACATTATCGTGTATTATACCTCACAAAATAAGCAGTAATGTATTAACATTTTTAATCAGACACATGTACATTATCGTGTATTATACCTCACAAAATAAGCAGTACCTATGGATATGTCAGGGGCTGCCAGGGTTGGAGCACCCTGGATTCAGACCCATAAACAGTACAATGTTCCTTACCGCTTCATTGAGGTAGTGTGTATGGTAAATTACCAGGTAAATACAAGAAATAACTCATTTTAACTCATCATCTGTTGATATCAAATTACAATTCCACATTATCTGGAGGTAACAAATTTAAGTGTTTTGATCCTCAGTTACAGTAGATAGAATTATATCCCTTACTCTAAGCTGCTCATCCATCTTTGTAGATATTGAAGATGCTGATCTGATATGCATCTTTGTGGATGAGTCTATATCTATTAATCAACCTTGTAGATTATTTAGATGTATCCTAAATTTTTGTACGAGACACTATGTCTATTATTCAATTTTGTAAGTGACATCAGATGTATCGTGTGTATTTGTAGATGACGCTGGCTGGAGGGTTTATTTCCCATTACCTATTGGAAAAGTCCAGGATATGTGTTCAGAGCGCCAACGAGAGGAACTACCACATCTTCTACAGGTTGTGTGCCGGGGCTCCAGACGATCTCTACCAGAAACTCAAATTGGTTTCACCCGACCAATTCCATGTATGTCTATGTAAGGGTGGGGCAAACTTTGATATGTGGACAGGATTGTAAATGTCGGTCAAGTCAGTGGTGATAGGAATCTGTCCAATGGCTGCATGATTGTAAATCCATGTGTAAACCTGCAGCATCATTTTCTTATAGAAATCAATGAAATAGAAGAAACATATTTGTAAAGATCTGATATCTATATAATATGCTTACTGTTGAAATGTTCCAGGTGAATTCTGTTTTGTTATTGAATGTAGTTCTGTGTGTATAGTGTTCAGGCATTCTTGCTATTTGTACAGTATTAGGTCTGTAAAAGGCTTTAAACTAGGACATTTTGCAGGGAAAAAAGAAAATAAGTGAAGGTATGAGCAGTCAGTTATAATGTTATCAATAGTTTTAGGTAAAATTTTAACATACTTGTCACTCTCTGTGAAGAGCCTTTCCTTGTAAACAAGTGTAACTGAGCCTGCCTTATGTCTATTTTGCTGCCCTGTTTGCTGTTGTATGACCATGTACATGTTGTGTGCTCTCTCTCCTTGGATGTAGTACTTGAATCGTGGATGTACACAGTATTTCTGTGGTCGTCAGACTGACAAAGCAATGTCACAGGGCAGGAAGAGTAAACAGGTAAGTACGGGTGTCAATGCAGGTGTTTTATTGTACAGGTAGGTATTTGTTATTGTATAGCTGGGTATTTACTGGTAGATTATTGTATGGCTAAGCTACTGTACAGATATATTGACAGGTGGGTTATCTTACAGAGGGTTTATTTTACAGGTAGGTTATTGAACAGGTGGTTTATCATACAGATGGGTCATTTTGCATGTTGGTTTCTAATAGGTTGAACTTTTACAGGTGGGTAATCATACAGGTTGTTACTGGGAGTTTATTGTACAGGTTGATAATTTTACAGGTGGGTTATTGAACTAGTGGGCAATTGTATAGGTGGGTTATTGAACTAGTGGGCAATTGTATAGGTGGGTTATTGAACTAGTGGGCAATTGTATAGGTGGGTTACTGTAGTTGTGGGCTGTTAAACGTAGATTATTGTGAAGGGAGGATTGTTACAGGTAGATATCTTGTAGACATGTTATTGTATACCCAGTATGTGGGGTTAGTTATATTTGACTATTGTACATGTATATTGTTGTACAGGTGACTATTTACAAGTGGGTTATTTTACAGGTAGGTTGATGAACAGTTGGGTTATTGTAAAGGAGGGTTATTTATGTAACAGATGGGGTATCTGAGATATGATGGGTTACTTCAGATGTAACATGTTAGGTAACAGATGACAGGTGTAATGATCAGGAGGGAGGTAACAGATGACAGGTGTAATGATCAGGAGGGAGGTAACAGATGACAGGTGTAATGATCAGGAGGGAGGTAACAGATGACAGGTGTAATGATCAGGAGGGAGGTAACAGATGACAGGTGTAATGATCAGGAGGGAGGTAACAGATGACAGGTGTAATGATCAGGAGGGAGGTAACAGATGACAGGTGTAATGATCAGGAGGGAGGTAACAGATGACAGGTGTAATGATCAGGAGGGAGGTAACAGATGACAGGTGTAATGATCAGGAGGGATTTGAAGGAGATGTCTAGCTTACGGTTTATATATGATAGAATGTTTAGTCTAGGTAAACAGTCTGATCAGCATTGTGTCATTCTCCACTAAGAGAATGAGTTTAGTTGGTAACCATTTGTTACTTTTGTCTTTTGACAATTGTTGTCAACAAGTTATGTCATCCTGCCTTGAAAATGAAAATGTCATGATGGTTCTGTCGTCGATACTCCAAACATGTACCTATTTTGTTTCTACTTTATGTTTATATTTGAATATATTTTTTATTATTTAAGATATTAATATTAAGCTGCATTTTCATGATGTAGCATATGTATAAATATATTATTGTATTTATATATAACTATGTATTGTTTATGTAATGTATCTTTATATGTATATAAATCTGTAGTACCTGAAGGATGGCAGCCTCTCTGACCCTGTGATTGATGATGTACAGAACTTTAAGATTTGTGACGATGCCATGAAACATCTAGGCTTCTCCGACTCGGACCGCTTGTCTGTGTACAAACTGGTCGCAGGAGTACTCCATCTAGGAAATATCAGCTTTGAGGAAAACCATGAAGATACAAAAGGTAGAAAGTCACATGGCAGAAAGCGTATCAGGCTCGCTTTTTCTCTCTTACCTTGTACTGTTATGATAATAACAGGCCACGATCTGTTGTAATGGTCGATGATGTCATCAAATCTTTAGCATGGCAGCATAAAGGTGTAACATCTAACACTTGTCTGAAACTGAATGATTGGCTGAGGTGAGAACAATGGCAGGGTATTGTATTAATATATGATTTGATTGACAGGTGGTTGTAAAGTGATGGCGGGGGGCGAGAGTGCACTGGACACTGCTGCTGGGCTGTTAGCTCTGGAGAGGGAAGAGCTGCGGGAATCTCTAACTAGCCGCATTATGCAAACTGCAAAAGGAGGGTCAAAGGGCACTATCATCAAGTAAGTCAATGGTCATTCAGAGTGAACCATGTTCAAATACATCACAAGTTAAAGGGCACCATCCTCAAGTGATTTACAGATAAGTCTAAGGGTGCTGTGGTCACTTAAGACTCAGGTCAGTCGAAGGGCATCACCCACAAATAAATCACAGGTCAGTCGAAGGGCATCATCTCCTCCAGTAAGTTACAGGTCAATCGAAGGGCATCATCCTCAAATATATCACAGGTCAGTTGAAGGGCACCATCCTCAAATATAACACTGGTCAGTCAAAGGACATCATCCTCTAGTAACTCACAGTTCAGTCGAAGGGCATCATCCTCTAGTAAGTTACAGGTCAGTCGAAGGGCATCATCAAATATATCACAGGTCAGTCGAAGGGCATCATCCTCTAGTAAGTTACAGGTCAGTCGAAGGGCATCATCAAATATATCACAGGTCAGTCGAAGGGCATCATCCTCTAGTAAGTTACAGGTCAGTCGAAGGGCAACATCCTCAAATATATCACAGGTCAGTCAAAGGGCACTATCGGCTAGTAAGTCACAGGTCAGTCGAAGGGCATCATCCTCAAATATATCACAGGTCAGTCAAAGGGCATCATCTCCTCTAGTAAGTTACAGGTCAATCGAAGGGCATCACCCACAAATAAATCACAGGTCAGTCGAAGGGCACTATCCTCTAGTAAGTTACAGGTCAATCGAAGGGCATCACCCACACATAAATCACAGGTCAGTCGAAGGGGATCATTATCAAATATATCACAGGGCATTCAAAGGGCATCATCTCCTCTAGTAAGATACAGGTCAATCGAAGGGCATCACCCACACATAAATCACAGGTCAGTCGAAGGGAATCATCTAATCCAGTAAGTTACAGGTCAATCGAAGGGCATCATCCTCAAATATATCACAGGGCATTCAAAGGGCATCATCTCCTCTAGTAAGTTACAGGTCAGTCGAAGGGCGTCATCAAATATATCACAGGTCAGGCGAAGGGCATCATTATCAAATATATCACAGGTCAGTCAAAGGGAACTATCGGCTAGTAAGTAACAGGTCAGTCGAAGGGCATCATTATCAAATATATCACAGGTCAGTCGAAGGGCATCATCCTCTAGTAATTAACTCACAGGTCAGTCGAAGGGCATCATTATCAAATATATCACAGGTCAGTCAAAGGGCACTATCGGCTAGTAAGTCACAGGTCAGTCGAAGGGCATCATTATCAAATATATCACAGGTCAGTCAAAGGGCACTATGAGTATTACACTTTTAGGAATTTTACAGGGCATCATTATCAAATATATCACAGGTCAATCAAAGATATACAAAATATGCTCTTCTATTGGTTTTTTTCTTGATGTCACTATGACCTGTATATTATCTGTATCCTGTATGTATTTTATAGGGTTCCTCTAAAGGTGGGCGAGGCATCTAGTGCCAGAGACGCATTGGCTAAGTCTGTCTACTCACGTCTGTTTGACTTCATTGTGGCCAGCATCAACAAGTCAATCCCATTCAGTTCCTCGGTCAGCTTCATCGGCCTGCTTGACATTGCTGGGTTCGGTAAGTCTTGTTCACAGCATTGGGAGCTATCATTTAACTTCGTTATTGAAGGACAGACAACTGTCTCAATCTTTGTGCTGAAATACTGTAACCACTCTCATAACTTTTGTCAGATATGTGATAGATCTTTGAGAAAACGATCATATATCTTTCTTCATTAATGAGTTATAATGCATTTCTTATTGAAAGATTTACCACCGAATGATGGAAGGGAACCTAACTTATGTAAGGTTGGAGATGACTATGATCTGATTGTCCTTGTGTCACTTTGTCCAGAATGTATATCATATTCATTGTCACCTACCATTACTAAATATTGTATGTGAGAACCTGTTGAAATGGTGGGGTGTTGCATACTAAAATTAGGTTTATTGCCTAATTGATATAGAGGTATGGTACTTTGTTAGTTTGTCATGCTGTTATCTGGAGGTGGGAGACAGGATTACTTATAATGCTACACCTGAGTAGGTGTGAAGTAGATGATCAGAGTGTCAATAAGATACCTGATTGGGAATAGACTTTTTGTATAGATATATTTTTATGTTTCGTGAGAGATATATCCCTGAATTGATAAAGCCTCAGTTAGCTCAAATTAAATACATAAGAAATGAATGAACATACGCTTCGATCAAATAAAGAACTGTAACCTGTTTTTATTGCAGAGTATTTCCAGGTGAACAGCTTTGAACAGTTCTGTATAAATTACTGTAATGAGAAACTGCAACAATTCTTCAATGACCGAATCCTCAAGGAGGTGAGTGTAATTTACAGGTACACTAGATATTGAAGTGATCTGTTGAATAACAGGAGTATAACATTATAAGGAATGTTACATTAACGGGAGTTTTACATTAACAGGAGTATTACACTATTAGGAATTTTACATTAACAGGAGTATTACACTATTAGGATGTAACATTACAGGAGTATTACACTATGAGGATGTAACATTAACAGGAGTATTACTCTATTAGGAATTTTACATTAACAGGAGTATTACACTATTAGGATGTAACATTAACAGGAGTTTTACATTAACAGGAGTATTACATTAACAGGAGTATTACACTTTTAGGAATTTTACATTAACAGGTGTATTACACTTTTAGGAATTTTACATTAACAGGTGTATTACACTATTAGGAATTTTACATTAACAGGAGTTTAACATTAACAGGAGTATTACATTAACAGGAGTAACAAGAGTTTTACATTAACAGGAGTATTACACTTTTAGGAATTTTACATTAACAGGTGTATTACACTATTAGGAATTTTACATTAACAGGAGTTTAACATTAACAGGAGTATTACATTAACAGGAGTAACAAGAGTTTTACATTAACAGGAGTATTACACTTTTAGGAATTTTACATTAACAGGTGTATTACACTATTAGGAATTTTACATTAACAGGAGTTTAACATTAACAGGAGTATTACATTAACAGGAGTAACAAGAGTTTTACATTAACAGGAGTATTACACTTTTAGGAATTTTACATTAACAGGTGTATTACACTATTAGGAATTTTACATTAACAGGAGTTTAACATTAACAGGAGTATTACATTAACAGGAGTAACAAGAGTTTTACATTAACAGGAGTATTACACTTTTAGGAATTTTACATTAACAGGTGTATTACACTATTAGGAATTTTACATTAACAGGAGTTTAACATTAACAGGAGTATTACATTAACAGGAGTAACAAGAGTTTTACATTAACAGGAGTATTACACTTTTAGGAATTTTACATTAACAGGTGTATTACACTATTAGGAATTTTACATTAACAGGAGTTTAACATTAACAGGAGTATTACATTAACAGGAGTAACAAGAGTTTTACATTAACAGGAGTATTACACTTTTAGGAATTTTACATTAACAGGTGTATTACACTATTAGGAATTTTACATTAACAGGAGTTTAACATTAACAGGAGTATTACATTAACAGGAGTAACAAGAGTTTTACATTAACAGGAGTATTACACTTTTAGGAATTTTACATTAACAGGTGTATTACACTATTAGGAATTTTACATTAACAGGAGTATTACACTATTAGGAGTTTTACATTAACAGGAGTTTTACATTAACAGGAGTATTACACTTTTAGGAATTTTACATTAACAGGTGTATTACACTATTAGGAATTTTACATTAACAGGAGTTTAACATTAACAGGAGTATTACATTAACAGGAGTATTACATTAACAGGAGTATTACACTATTAGGAATTTTACATTAACAGGAGTTTTACATTAACAGGAGTAACAAGAGTTTTACATTAACAGGAGTATTACACTATTAGGAATGTTACGTTAACAGGAGTATTACACTATTAGGAATGTTACATTAACAGGAGTATTACGCTAGTAAGAATGTTACATTAACAATAGTTTTACATCAACAGGAGTATTACACTATAAGGAATGTTACATGAACAGAAGTATTACGCTAGTAGGAATGTTACATTAACAGGAAAATTACATTAACAGGAAAGTTACATTAACAGGAAAGTTACATTAACAGGAAAGTTACATTAACAGGAGTTTACATTAACAGAAGCGTAACTTTCATAGAAGTGGTACTGACACCTGTCAAGACATATTGCATCAGCTAAAGAAATTCTGTAAAATCACCATACTATTCAAAGCAGGTGTTCCATTAAAATGTACCTTCTGATTGCTTATGATGTAGAAATAGACAGGTTGTTGATTTATGTGCAGATTTACAGGTTATGACATAAATATGTGTTTGTATATATATTCATTGATAGGGAGAGATTGACAGGAGCCTAGTAATGATTAATGTTGTGATGTAAAGGTTGTTATTGCATTGGTGTGTTTCAGGAACAATTGCTGTATGAGAAAGAAGGCCTGAATGTAAAGAAGATCGAGTGGACAGATAACAAGGATTGTATTGGTGAGTGTTAGAGGCTGGGCCTGTACAGGTACTAGATAGCAATGGTTGTATTGGTGAGTGTTATAGAATGATCCTGTTCAGGTACTAGATAGCAATGGTTGTATTGGTGAGTGTTATAGAATGATCCTGTTCAGGTACTAGATAGCAATGGTCGTATTGGTGAGTATTAGAGAATGATCCTTTACAGGTACTAGATAGCAATGGTTGTATTGGTAAGTGTTAGAGGCTGGTCCTGTACAGGTACTAGATAGCAATGGTTGTATTGGTGAGTGTTATAGAATGATCCTGTTCAGGTACTAGATAGCAATGGTCGTATTGGTGAGTATTAGAGAATGATCCTTTACAGGTACTAGATAGCAATGGTTGTATTGGTAAGTGTTAGAGGCTGGTCCTGTACAGGTACTAGATAACAAGGATTGTATTTGTGAGGGTTAGAGGCTGATCCTGTACAGGGACTAGATAGCAATGGTTGTATTGGTGAGTGTTATAGAATGATCCTGTTCAGGTACTAGATAGCAATGGTCGTATTGGTGAGTATTAGAGAATGATCCTTTACAGGTACTAGATAGCAATGGTTGTATTGGTAAGTGTTAGAGGCTGATCCTGTACAGGTACTAGATAACAAGGGTTGTATTTGTGAGTGTTAGAGGCTGGTCCTGTACAGGGACTAGATAACAAGGATTGTATTTGTGAGGGTTAGAGGCTGATCCTGTACAGGGACTAGATAGCAATGGTTGTATTGGTGAGTGTTATAGAATGATCCTGTTCAGGTACTAGATAGCAATGGTTGTATTGGTGAGTATTAGAGAATGATCCTTTACAGGTACTAGATAGCAATGGTTGTATTGGTAAGTGTTAGAGGCTGGTCCTGTACAGGTACTAGATAACAAGGGTTGTATTTGTGAGTGTTAGAGGCTGGTCCTGTACAGGGACTAGATAACAAGGATTGTATTTGTGAGGGTTAGAGGCTGATCCTGTACAGGGACTAGATAGCAATGGTTGTATTGGTGAGTGTTAGAGGCTGATCCTGTACCGGTACTAGATAACAAGGATTGTATTGGTAAGTGTTAGAGGCTGATCCTGTACAGGTACTAGATAGCAATGGTTGTATTTGTGAGTGTTAGAGAATAATCCTGTTCAGGTACTAGATAGCAATGGTTGTGTTGGTGAGTGTTAGAGAATGATCCTGTTCAGGTACTAGATAGCAATGGTCGTATTGGTGAGTATTAGAGAATGATCCTTTACAGGTACTAGATAGCAATGGTTGTATTGGTAAGTGTTAGAGGCTGATCCTGTACAGGTACTAGATAGCAATGGTTGTATTTGTGAGTGTTAGAGAATAATCCTGTTCAGGTACTAGATAGCAATGGTTGTGTTGGTGAGTGTTAGAGAATGATCCTGTTCAGGTACTAGATAGCAATGGTTGTATTGGTGAGTATTAGAGAATGATCCTTTACAGGTACTAGATAGCAATGGTTGTATTGGTAAGTGTTAGAGGCTGATCCTGTACAGGTACTAGATAACAAGGGTTGTATTGGTGAGGGTTAGAGAATGATCCTGTTCAGGTACTAGATAACAAGGATTGTATTGGGGAGTGTTAGAGAATGATCCTGTACAGGTACTAGATAGCAATGGGTGTATTGGTGAGTATTAGAGAATGATCCTTTACAGGTACTAGATAGCAAGGGTTGTATTGGTAAGTGTTAGAGGCTGATCCTGTACAGGGACTAGATAGCAATGGTTGTATTGGTGAGGGTTAGAGGCTGGTCCTGTACAGGGACTAGATAGCAATGGGTGTATTGGTGAGGGTTAGAGAATAATCCTGTTCAGGTACTAGCTAGCAATGGTTGTATTGGTGAGTGTTAGAGGCTGGTCCTGTACAGGGACTAGATGACAAGGATTGTATTGGTGAGGGTTAGAGAATGATCCTGTTCAGGTACTAGATAGCAATGATTGTATTGGTGAGTGTTAGAGGCTGGGCCTGTGCAGGGACTAGATAGCAATGGGTGTATTGGTGAGGGTTAGAGAATAATCCTGTTCAGGTACTAGATAGCAATGATTGTATTGGTGAGTGTTAGAGGCTGGGCCTGTACAGGTACTAGATAGCAATGGTTGTTTTGGTGAGTGTTAGAGGCTGATCCTGTACAGTTACTAGATAACAAGGATTGTATTGGTGACAATGGTTGTATTGGTGAGTGTTAGAGGCTGTTCCTGTTCAGGTACTAGATAACAAGGGTTGTATTGGTGAGGGTTAGAGAATGATCCTGTTCAGGTACTAGATAGCAATGATTGTATTGGTGAGTGTTAGAGGCTGTTCCTGTACAGGTACTAGATAACAAGGGTTGTATTGGTGAGGGTTAGAGAATGATCCTGTTCAGGTACTAGATAACAAGGGTTGTATTGGTGAGTGTTAGTGGCTGATCCTGTACAGGTACTAGATAATAAGGATTGTATTGGTGAGTGTTAGAGGCTGGTCCTGTACAGGTACTAGATGACAAGGATTGTATTGGTGAGTGTTAGAGAATGATCCTGTTCAGGTACTAGATAACAAGGGTTGTATTGGTGAGGGTTAGAGAATGATCCTGTTCAGGTACTAGATAACAAGGATTGTATTGGTGACAATGGTTGTATTGGTGAGTGTTAGAGGCTGTTCCTGTTCAGGTACTAGATAACAAGGGTTGTATTGGTGAGGGTTAGAGAATGATCCTGTTCAGGTACTAGATAGCAATGGGTGTATTGGTGAGTGTTAAAGAATGATCCTGTTCAGGTACTAGATAGCAATGGGTGTATTGGTGAGGGTTAGAGAATAATCCTGTTCAGGTACTAGCTAGCAATGGTTGTATTGGTGAGTGTTAGAGAATGATCCTGTTCAGGTACTAGATAACAAGGATTGTATTTGTGAGTGTTAGAGGCTGATCCTGTACAGTTACTAGATAACAAGGATTGTATTGGTGAGGGTTCGAGAATGATCCTGTTCAGGTACTAGATAACAAGGATTGTATTGGGGAGTGTTAGAGAATGATCCTGTACAGGTACTAGATAGCAATGGTTGTATTGGTGAGTGTTAGAGAATAATCCTGTTCAGGTACTAGATAGCAATGGTTGTATTGGTGAGTGTTAAAGAATGATCCTGTTCAGGTACGAGATAGCAATGGTTGTATTGGTGAGTGTTAGAGAATGATCCTGTACAGGTACTAGATAGCAATGGTTGTATTGGTAAGTGTTAGAGGCTGGTCCTGTACAGGTACTAGATAACAAGGATTGTATTGGTGAGTGTTAGAGGCTGGTCCTGTTCAGGTACTAGATAACAAGGGTTGTATTGGTGAGTGTTAGAGGCTGGTCCTGTACAGGTACTAGATAACAAGAGTTGTATTGGTGAGTGTTAGAGGCTGGTCCTGTACAGGTACTAGATAACAAGGATTGTATTGGTGAGTGTTAGAGGCTGATCCTGTACAGGTACTAGATAACAAGGGTTGTATTGGTGAGTGTTAGAG